GTTATATAATTAAGCACTTCAATCAGTTGAAGTTTGGAATTTCAAAGCAAGAGGCTAATTTGCCTATTTAATTGGGTTTCTAGCTTTATTCGGTTTATTCAATTCAGTTTCTGATGGCAGCAAACGTACAGCACTGATTTCATATCAAATAGATTTCCTGTCCCTGAATAGTTTTAGTAGAATGTAGATTTGCTTGAGTTTGTGCAATTAAAATAACAGCTTTTGATGGATGATGCTGAAGCTACCAAGATAGTAATTTGCATTTGCTTAGAATTTTAATAGGGATTCTGCTCCGGAATGACTCTTCTAATGAGTTACCTGTTTGAACGTGTGTGGGTGCTTGGGAGAACATATAATGACATAAAATGGGACTGACAGGCGGAATATGAAGAGCTAATTATTAAGCAATAACAACTGCATATTATTGTACATTTGGTTAAATTCCAAAATCCTTTTTAAATATTTTTTTTACTGTATCTGTAAATCCAGTGCTCATGTTTAACAGAAACTTTTTTTTCCAGAAGTTTTTATTTATTTATTTTTACTTTTTTAATTTTATTTTTATTTGTCAATTGCTTACAAGATAATAGGTATAAGTAAAAACATAGTTATGAATACATGGATACATATAAGAAAAATTAAAAAAATAAAAGAAACAATAGGACAGGGACGGTAGGCACGTTGGTGCGCTTATGCACAGACCTCTTAGGAAAGGGGTGAGGTCAATAGTAGACAGTCTAAGGTTAAAGTTTTTGGGGTTTGGGGAAAAAACCACAGAGTCAGGTAGAGTATTCCAGACATTGACCACTCCGTTGCTGAAGTTGTATTTCCTGCAATCAAGTTTGTTGCAATTAACCTTGAGTTTGTATCTATTGTGTGCTCTTGTGTTGTTATGGTTGAAGCTGGAGTATTCATTGACTGGTAGGACATTGCAATGTATGATTTTATATACTATACTTAGATCGGACCGAAGGCGGCGTAGTTCTAAGTTTTCTAGGTCTAGAATTTCGAGTCTGGTGGCATAAGGTATTCTGCAACGAGTAGAGGAGTGGACAACTCTTCTTGTGAAATATTTCTGGGCTTTCTCAACTGTGTTAATATCCGATACGTAATGTGGGTTCCAGACTGATGAGCTGTATTCAAGTATAGGTCTAGCAAATGTTTTGTGTGCTCTAGTTATTAGTGTAATATTACCAGAGAAAAAGCTACGTAACTTTTGGCTATTCCTAAGCTACACAATGTGCAGTTTGTGAAATGCAGGAGTGTTTAGGGTTCTGAAATACAGATAGTCCTCATAAATTTGAGCTCCAGATTTATGTTGTTAAACGAGAAATTTGTTGAGTTGACTTTGGACACATTTTACGACTTTTTTCACCTTTGTTAAGTGAATCACTGCAGTTCTTAAATTAGTAATGTGGTTATTAAAAGAATCTGGCTTCTCTGTTGACTTTGCTTGTCAGAAGGTCGCAAAAGGTGACCACATGATTCTGGGACACTGCAACCGTCATAAATGTGAGTCAGTTGTCAAGCATCTGAATGTAAACCACGTGACCATGGGGATGCTGCAAAGGTATGAAAAATGGTCATAAGTCACTTTTTTCAATGCCGTTGTAACTTTGAATGGTCACTAAACGTTGTAAATCAAGAACTCCCTGTATGCTGTCTTCTTCAGACCCTCCATTTCATAGACAAATAGAGCAGAACAGAATATCAGAGTTGGAAGGGACCTTGGAGGTCTTCTAGTCCAACCCCCTGAAAACGGGGGGAAACGCAACACCACTTCAGACAAATGGTTGTCCAATCTCTCCTTAAAAACTTGCAGTGTTGGAGCATCCACAACTTCTGGAGGCAAGTTGTTCCACGGATTACTGTATATACTCGAGTATAAGCCTAGTTTTTCAGCCCAATTTTTGTGCTGAAAAAATCCCCCTCGGCTTATACTCGAGTCAGATTCCCCTCTGAAAAAAAAAATGGTGTGGAGTCGCGGCCTCCGGCGGCAGCGACTCCCAACAGCCCCAGCCGGGAAGGGAAAGGCAAAAAGCGCTTTGCCTTTCCCTTCCCGAGGCGGCGGGACTGGGGCCGCGCCGGCGGTAGTGACTCCTGACTCAGGGGGCCTCCGAGGGAGGGGAAGAGAGTGACTCCTGCCTCCCGCTGTCATCATCATCTTCTTCTTTTGGGTTAGTGAATCAATTAAACCTTTCATGATAGTGAGATCGTTTCCCAAATTAATTATTTTTATTTTTGAAATTTACCAGTAGCTGCTGCATTTCCCACCCTCGGCTTATACTCGAGTCAATAAGTTTTCCCAGTTTTTTTTGTGTAAAATTAGGTGCCTCGGCTTATATTCGGGTCGACTTATACTGGAGTATATACGGTAATTGTTCTCACAGTCAGGAAATTTCTCCTTAGTTCTGTGTTGCTTCTCTCCTTGATTAGTGTCCACCCATTGCTTCTTGTCCTGCTTTGGAGAATAGCTTGACCCCCTCTTCTTTGTGGCAGCCCCTGAGATATTGTTATACAAAATCTAACAAAAATGGCTTGTAGTGACTCCAGCAAAGAATATGCTGGAAGTCTTTTGGACAAAGCATTCGTAAGCTACAGCAGAACGGTTTGATGGTACAGTGCTCGGATAAGTCGGATAAGCACATCAAGTCTATGGTGGTTATGCTTGAAAATGACTGATAATAGAAGGGATAAAAAGGACACTTTGCAGAAAGAAGAGTGGAGGGATCAGGAAGGTAGAAAATGAAACATTCTTAAAGAACAGTGAATCATAGATATAAAAAGAGAAAAGTTTAGCAAACAATACACCCACACCATCTACCATGAGTACCATTTTATCTTCTGAGTACACGCTTTGAGAAATTATGCAAGAATTTAAAAGGTTCTATCCATACTTATTATGAAGAAAAAAAGCAGATAGCTGAAATATTGCACTGAGGGAGATGAGGGTCTTTCTTTCTTTTTCTTTCCTCCCTTCCTCCCTTTTTCTTTTTGCAGTGAACAAGCTGATGATATGAATGCAGGTAGTCCTTGACTCGGCAACAGGCATGCATTTATGAGCAGTTGCTGTGTCTCAAGGATCACACTTTTCCCCCACCATTTTCTGGCAAAAAATGCCCACTCATTCTGTGCCTCTTTCTTTATATTTCTTCAGTCACTCTGTTTCCACTTCTCAGGTTTTAAAAAGATTATGCACATGTACATGTTACCGTTTATTTTGTGTCTGAATTGGTGTCTCTTGGTTTTATTCTGTAATTAAAACAATACAGTAGATTGATGGTCTTCTCTGGCAACCAAGAATTCCACCTTGCTCTGCATAACATCTAGATTTGATAGTAGTTCGTCTAGTTTATTGTTTTGTTTCTAAATATCTAAATACTTGGGTTTAGCCAAAAAGGAGTGCCAGATTAACCTCCCTGTAGTCTTAAAAATAAAATAGTGAAGAAGGAAAGTGAAAAGGGGAAGAAAAATACGTACTCAGACACCAGTTTTAACGTAGTTTTATCTGTTTATAATGTTGTGATGGCAATGGGTTTCTTAGGAAGAGCTGACTAATCTCTTAGAGCCCAAGGTTCTTCTGTACAACATAGCTTGTGCTAACTTATTTTAAGCAGCTAGTTATGTTAAGACAATGTTTAATGAAGTCATCTAGCTACCTGAAGTTACTAGGTTAATTAACATTATGCAAAGCTTTTTGGAAACAACAGTTTGGTGTTATTGTATTTTTCTGGATATAGCAAGATTTTTCCCATAGAATTAAAGCTGTGCTCAAATTTATCCTCAAATGATGGAATATCACCTATGAATCTCAAAATCTCTATCTGTCTCTCTCCCTTTTCCTTTTCCTCTTCCTCTCCCTCCCTCTCTCTCTCTTTCTCTCTCTCTCTCTCTCACACACACACACCACTTTTAATTTCGGTCTGCAGAAGGATTATGGGATTTTTATTCAAAACCAATGCCCCTTTTTGCTAAACTACATTCTTTCAACAGATTCCTAACCTTGGCCCTTATAACCAACATGGTTTGTTTTTAATTAGTCACAATTTAGCAAAAGCCAAGAACTTGGTGTTCTGTCAAGGCTGAATTATCTGTATTATGTTTATAGGAGGTCCTTTAATTGGATTGAAGAGGAAGTATGCTGACAAAGCTGCTAAAGAAAAATTATAATACTGATGTTCTGTAGATTACATATGATAACATTCATCAAGAGATGATAATTAAAACACAATGCAATTTATTTTCAGCTGCTCTATTTGACTCTTTGGGTATTATTGGTTATTTTTATTATATAAAATAAAAGAAGATGCAATATTGTATATGTTGCACATTGGACTAATCTGAAGTAATCCACTAACAGGATTCACCTGGCATAATTTACTTAGTTTTGGGATAGTTTACTATATATCTTCACCTTTGGTTTATATATGATGATAGTGCATTAATCCAGCCAACTAAATCTTATTCAGACCATGGTTTAGTGCAAGAAAACAAACGATTCACTTACTGGAAAGTGTGTTTAACAGATAAGTCCATAATTTTAGTTATCTGATTTGAGGAGATAAATCATATTTTATTAAATATGATAACGATTGTCCTACCAATTAAGATTGTATAGATCTCAAGAAACTAAAACCCATAGCCACAAAAATGGAATTTGGGGATAGAGTTTGTCCACATGTGCGAGCAAGGCAGAAGACATGGGCTAACATCCACAGGATGTGGTTTCAGTCATAAAAACGAGCAGAGCATTTTCGAAGCAAGATATTTTTTTTAGGTGGCTGAGATGGTTTGAGCTGGAAAAACAGAATTTACAGCCATTTACTATCTGCATACAAGAGTAGAAAAATACACGGTGGAAGTCATAAAGAGTGCTGGCTGTTAAACTGAAGAGATTCTCCTGGATCTGGCTGAAGTAGTTGAATATTTGTAATTATTCCTTGTCAACAGCTTTGTCAATATACTTCCAATAAATCCTTTTCTGTTGTCACTATCTCTAGTTGTTAAACCACAATGGAACATAAGGGGACAGTGGACCTGGAAGATGATTTGGCATTATTACCACGCCTTGCACCTAGTCCTCACAGTGAAGCAGTGGCCCATGAATTTCAAGAACTCTCTTTGCAACCAAACCAATATTTACCTCCTCTCAATGAAAGGAAGAATGGTAAGTACACCATGTGGCTGATGCCATGCTTAATATTTTGTTCTAAGTAAGCTGTTATCTGGGTTTATGCCCATTTACAGGATAAATTGCTAAACATTCTGTAATGTTATTCTGTCATAAACATAGGTGGATTTCCAGATGCAGCGATCCCCCAGTGCTTAAATAATATACTAATTACTCATCTAGGCCATGATCACCTAATGAACATTCTCTATATTTTAATATCTAGATTTGGAATGTTAGTTTTGTTGGGTCATTTATAGAACTTAATGAATGTTTGTTTTCATGTCTTCCTTCACTGTTTCTTTTGGCAAGAAAAACAGGAGGTTTAATCAGGGCATGTCTAGCCTGAAAACTGAACATGTTTCCATTTGGTGTGGTCTTCATTCTTTGCATCTGTTTGGGAAAATACACACTTGCATATGTGACCTTTTACTGCTGCATGCTTACCTAGTGATTTCCTACATCTTCCAGCTGTTTTTGTCTGAAATATCAGAATTTATCTTGGAAATCTCCATGACGTCAGATCTTCTGCCTATTCCTAATAGTAAATTTAATTCTGATTCTTCAACTACCTTTTTAACATATCTCATGGAGGTAGCTATGGAGGGAATTGGAAATGATGTGTTAAAGAGGAATAATAAATCTGTGTTTGTGTAGCAGCACAACAATGGTGAGACAGTTGTCTGTGCCACTGTGGCTCATGCTTTCATAAAAGTCAGATAGTGCATGTGATGTACTAATAGTTTTAGATTGTGGGACCATGATTTCATTTATGTCCCATTGAAAACATTTTCATGCAGTGCTCATTCAGGCAGTTATCTTTATCTTCTCAGATAACGCCAAAGGTAATACAGTTCTAGAGCCTATTTTTAGAATTACAGGAGTCAATATTTACTTGAGAATGAACCAGTAAAACAATAGTCCTGCGTAGCTTATTGGGAAGTCTAACTAAGCAAGAGGGAACCAATTTGCTTATAACTGCAGTATTTCTAATCTTCCGTGGCTTTGTCCTCTTCCAGCATCATAGGGAAGTTGGCTTCTCTCACAGAACAAGTCCATTCGAATCTTGAAAACGTTTGCTTAGAATGTATAGCTTACAATTGGCAATGTATCCTGAACGCTCTGGATTTCTTCCAATAAGCTTTTCATCCTAGTTTTCGAGCAGGTTTTATTATAATCTCTTTTGCAGCCTGAGATGGATTATTCATCCTTTGCTTGTTGTAACTTGATTTCTCACTTCATATTAAGAATCAACAGTTTATTATTGTGTGTGTGTGTGTGAGAGAGAGAGACAAAAAAACCCCCAAAAACCATTCTTCATGATGTTGGCATAATTGCTTGTGTACAAAACTTTTGATTAAAAACTGCAAGTCAAACTGTGATGGGTTCCAAAATTTTTTAAAAATAAATTTTTATATTCAATGTTTACTTCTTTCATTTTAGCCTTTCTATTTGACTGAAAATCTATTCTGACAAGAATCCCTTTATGGCTTAACAATACAGTAGTATCAGATGGGACTGAAATATATTGTGTGAAGCCCAGTGATATTTTTTTTGTCCCTATTTGAATACATGAACTATTATTGCAGCAACTCATTGGTCAGCTCTGTCTTTTGGGCTTCTTTAATGGAGGTTGATCCAATATATTTTTTCCATTGCTGCCTTAGTTTGAAACACAGAGTGTAAAAACAATGTTGTATATCTTGTCAACGGGAATTCATTGTGTCATGAGGCATTGCCTTGTTTTTGTCATAAAAAGGCAGGCTTAAAGTTCATTTATCTCCTCAGCATGAACTTAGGAAATGCAGTATGTTAAGTTATCCAGAGTCCATAGGGAATTCTGCACAAATTAGAATTGGTCTAAAAGGAAGTATGACATTTTCTGGCCTCTGAGCTAGTTGTTGTTTTATATAGTTGAGTACAAATCAACTGTTGGCGAGACCAGTCTTCCAAAAATATAATTCCTCTTTCATCAAAAAGCTTTTAGTACTGATCCGAGATTTTGATTCTGAAAGTTGCTTCGCTTACAGTTAGTGTTCAAATTTTTTACTCTCCAGCTTTCATTTTAAAAATAACTGCTTTTAACCTTTATAATCCCAAGTCCACGGAGACGTAGTTCTTCCCATGGTCTTTAAATGAGGAAAGCATAAATTGACACGAACAAATTGATATCCTGATATGCAAGGCTATCTTTTAAACCCAGTTCTGTCATTTTTAAAGTTTTTAATTATTGTTATTTAAGCCATATTTTTTGATCAATACTATTTATTCCATGATATAAATACAAAATCGCAATGTGTAGTGATATTCACTGTAAATTAAATTCACTCGGGGTCCAGTATGGTAAATATCGAGGGGGAGAAAACTGACGTGTGAATCATTTTGCCAACTCGTGTCTTTTATCTAAGCAATGACGTCATTTAGCTTATAAGGAACGAGGAGGCAGATCTTGCATGTGCTATTTCCCATTTAGCCTGTCATTATCCTCAAGACTGCCAGTTCCCACAATTCCAGCATTCCCTAGGCATCTATCAGTGTCTGCAAGGAACAAATTTCAAATATTAAAGCATGTGAAAAGACCCACAGGCCAAGCTCCAGTGGTCTCCAGAGAACTGACCTCTAAAATCAACTCTCTGCTGACATTTTCACAGGCTTCTTAAAGGAATTTCTGTAGAGTCATTCCCTTTGGTAAACACTTAAGCTAAATCTCTGTCACTTTTAGTGAGATTTATTAGGAACTCTGTCCCCTTGCTTTAACAAAATAACCAGAAATGCAATCGATGTCCAAATTTTAACAGTTAAAAAAAAAAGAAGAAAAACTTTATATGGATATTGATATTTAAGTTTCTGGACCTTTTTTTTTGGTGTGTGGATAAAAACATTTTTTATTTGGAAATTAGTTTAGCATTTACTGAAAAGGGTGGGGTGTTTTTTTTTTTTAAAAAAAAGATGAATATTTCCCTAAGGGATATCACAGGATGTTCCTTTTCCTGAAGTATTAAAAAAATATTGAGTGTAGTGATTGGGTGAATGAAGTTTCAAACATTTCAGTAAAATGGTTTTTAAGAAAGCCATGATGTTAATATCCTATAAATGACCTAAAAGAAAACAGTAACAGGAAATAACTTCCAATGAGTTGGACTGTTGTTTTTTTTCATGTGAAAAATGGGTTGCAGCTTAATATATTCAACTGAGTCAGTAAATAAAATGCAGAAATAAAATAGGGCTGTGAATAAACTTGTCATGAAGATTGCTGGATATTTATGATTAGGTAGAATGGAGAAGCTTGAAATTATGTTCGGTAAGCAAATGTAAAATGTGTGGTTTATTTGTGAAACACTTATGGGGAAAGCCCATTTAAATGTGACATCAAAGTGAGAGTGGCAGTAGATTTTTTTAGACATTTGTCTCACACCATGAGGTCATTGGAATATCATCTTCCTTAGGGCAAATTGCAGTCTGGAGGAGGGAGGATTTTAAACAAGAACTTTGTGTGTGTGTGTGAGAGAGAAATTCCTTCTGCCCACTGAAGAGGTCTGATTTGTACTATATGGTATGTTTACTGCTTTGGAAGGAAAGTGGCATATTGATCTAACACCTAGGTACAATAAGCTTTGAAGCTGTACTCTTAGTTAATAAAATTAAAATGTTAATTTTTAAAAGCTGATTATTTTTGGTTTCTATCAATCAGGCTATTAGTCAAACCAAGAATCTTTTTAGGATGTATTCGTCAGACTTGTCAGAGAAATATTTTTAGAATGTCCCTCTTCCTCAGTCCCAATTGAGGAAAGGATGCTGTTTCATATTGGCCTTGTAAAACTTGTGAGTAATGTTGTTTCCTTGATAGAAAGTCCCATTTGTTAAAAAAAAAAAAAAATGGAGAGAAATTGAAAAGCTTATCTGTTTGGAAAAGAGCTTTAAGTATCGGTTTATGGATTCTGTCTAGAATCAGCAGTGTGGTTGTCATTAAGGTTTGTGTTCTAAAAAGTGGAGCTAATTAACTCACAATCAAGGGGCATATAAACCCCCCTGTCTTCTGTGTCATCTTTAGCTTTAATTTCATTTAAAAGAGTCTTCTATCAGTATCTTTAAAGCGCTGCTCAAAAGTTGGGAAGTCAATTTGAGTAATCCTGAGTAATCTCTTATCTGGAAAGACTGAGTTAGTAGTTTTCCAGCAAATGCCATAGTTGCTCAACCAGTTTCACCATCTCCGGATGGGATAATAGGTTTCTTTCACTCAGTCGGGTAATCTGTCTTTAGATTGTGTGTCTCTAAATAAATTCTATTATTAACAGACCAAAGCTCCTCTTTATATGATGTAAGCATTTCTGCATTCTATGAAGCTGAGCTGTGTGATCTGATGGCATTGCAAAAACATCTTACTTGCTTATTATCTAGCAGCTATGTAAATGTTTTAAATGAACAAATAAATCTTGAGCAGATAGGAGATAGCGGCTTGTCAAGATGACTACTGTACTGATACTCTACTACTGACAAGCATTGAATGTAGTAGGATGTGTTATAGCAGTGGCCAACTTTGGATACAATGCATTTTAGAAACATATTTTAAAGCATTTTTGCCACCTTAGAGCAAGCAAAATAAAAATCTAAGACCAGGCCTTTGCCAAAACTTGGTACCCTACAGTGGCTACTGACATAAATCCTGGAAGCATGGAAATTATTGCTATTTCCCCCTAGCTGGTTCCACACAGCAAATAATTAAGATTTTTTTTATTATGGAAACATGATTGTAGTCACCACTGATAGCTCTATCTTCTATCAAATGAGCATCTATAATCACCTCTGTGGCATGAGATTGTATATTTACCTTTATGTTAAGAAAGTTAAGAAAGTCCTAAGTCTCCTTATAATTAGTTTCAGGTGGGAATTCTGAAGAAGAGAGACAGAAAATCTATTCTATTTACGTGCTACATGCCATACGTGGTTTTGTACAATGCTAGCATATTTCCTTCCTTCTTTCTAAGCAAAGAAACCCC